GATTTGGAATTGCCAACTTAAACTGTCAAAGTTTTCCTATAAATTACTATACTTAAAAAATTCAAATTCCATTAAGGCAAACACCATTAAAAGAAAATCATTTGATAAAACAATCAGGTACCATATCATTTTCATTTTAGTTTACTATTACATTAAATCAAGTTGTAATAGGAAATATTTCACACAATGTCTTAAGTGTGTACTATAAATATTTTTTATATATAGTAACTCCTGGAAAAGTATGTAATAGTTTTTGGTTATATAAATATACAAAGATATAGCATGTACAAACTATATCAACTGTATCCTTCAGAAGTTCTTAAAGACAGACAAAATCAAAGTGCCAACTACATGCTAAACCTTATAGCAGACAGTAGATAATACCTACTGAAGTATTTTTTGAAAACACTTATATCGAATTTACCCTTAAAATGATCCATGAAAACATTTAATTAACTACATTCTCATAAGAATTGAAGAAAAAACCAAAATGGTTTCCATAAAATCATTTCCGTAAAAAACAGTCTTCAAACAGCACACAGAAAAGCTGAAAGGAAAACCCAGCTCTCATTACTGCTGGCTATTTCTGGTCCCATTGATACCACGGTACAAGTGATACAAATGTTAGAGATTGCTGGACCTTGTTTTGAAAATTTCAGATAAATTCAAACAGCTCTCTAGCTCCTTGTCTTTCTTGTAAGATTGTGACAATAATACCTACCTCATAAGGATCTAGTAAATACATGACTATTTTCCTACAAATTATGTGAGCCGCACAAAGCATAACTGACAGATGCTCTGTAAATGTTAGTTCACTCATAATGCATTTCCAAATTCATTCAGCCAATATTAATTCTGCATGCCTAAATGCCAGGCACTGTTCTAGGCACCAGAGTGGACAACCCACACAGTGTCTCTACTCTCATGGAGCTGTCATTCTAGTAAGAATAACAATGAAGAGCTTGTGACATAAATGCCAATGAGTGGCCTCTCAATCAACCTGTCCTCACCCCTCCATTGAGTACAGGGTTGCTGGGCGCCAGCCGATGGCTCTGGAGCATAGGAAACGTTGTATGTGAATACTGCCCACCTGCTTTACTACTTCTCCCTTATACACTTTATCTGCTCCTTTCTCTTTTTTTCCTACCCTGTCTTCCAGTCTCAACTGTCTGTGATTTAAAATAGTAATGCTTCAAGTTGTGCCGAACACTGGAATTCTGCCAGGAAGGTGGCCGGGAGAAGCGAGCGGGCAGGCATGGAAAAACAGGTCACTCAGCCATGCCCAAATCAGAGCAGCTGTCTCTATTTTATCGGTGTTATCCCCCCTGCTTAATATACTAGGCTTCCAGTGCAAGATTGTGGTGGGAATAACTTGAGTGCTAAAGGAATGTTTGGAGGCAAAAAAAAAGTGCACCAATTTAAGTATGCCCCACTCTTTTACAAGTCAACGCACAGAAAAAAGAAATGAGGGCACAATAGGGGAATATAGCATATTAAAAGAAACTTATGAGACATAAAACTCAAACAGAATATATGCGGTTCTTGAGTGCGTCCTTGCCAGCTATAAAAAGGTGTTTTTAAGACAACCAAGGAAATTTTTTAAAGAAACTGGATATGCAGTAATTGTCAATTTTCTTAGGTATCACTAGGATAGTATGTTATGTGGTAAAACATGCTTTTTAAACAATATGACTACTGAAATGTTTAGAAGTAAAAAAGTCACAATGTCTGAATTTTACTTTTAATATTTACAGCCAAAAAAAAGAACACGATGTGAATATGACAGCCAACAATTGTTAAATCTTAGTGATGAGTGTGCATTATATACTTCTCTTGGCTTTCTGTACATTTGATGTTTTCCATGAAAGAACATTTTTTAAAGTATGATATGCTCAATAACTATTGGCACTCATAGGCCTTAATATGCCTTAAGCCTCCTACATCGACACATTAAAACTACACACAGGTTGTTACATTTGTACTTAACTACATAATCCAATTATAGCATTTTAAAAACACCAAAACGACTAACAATCATAAAGAAAATAGAAACCAGAATGATTTGGTTTCTGAGAGAAACTTCATAACCTGGCCACCAACACTGAATGGGCTGTTTTGGACTGCATGATGGTCAGATAGATGTCCTAGTCTGTTTGGGCCACTATAACAACATGCCTTAGACTGGGTAATTTACAAACAACAGAAATTAATCCCCTCCCCTTGAGAGCTGGGCTGGGCTGAGAGATTCATTTCTAACTAACAGAACAGAGCAAAAGTTACCAGCTGTCACTTTGGAGATTAGATTATAAAAGACTACACCTTCCTGACTCTGTCTCCCTTTCTCCCTTTTCTTTTCCTTCTTGTTTGCTTGCTCTGATAATGTGAGGGAACACGCCACATGCGAGCTGCCCTGTGGAGCAGCTTGGGTGGCAAACAAAAGCTTATGAGGAGCTGAGGCCTCAGTATAACAGCTTGCAAAGACCTCAATCCTGCCTCCCACCACAGGCGCATGCTTGAAGAAAATGATCCTTCTGCAGGGAGGCCTTGAGTGACTGCAGCCTGTGAGAGATCCTATGTTAATTTCCTAGGGTTGCCATAACAAACTACCACAGGCTGGGTGGTTAAAACAACAGAGATTTATTTCTGGAGGCTAGAAATGCAAGGTCAATATGTTAGCAAGCTGAGTTTCTTCTGGGGCCTCTCTCTGTCTTCTTGAGGATGGGGACTTTGTTTCCATGCCCCAACATGGTCTGCTCTGTACATAGAAGATGTGCATGGCTGTATTTTAATTTCCTCTTTTTCCAAGGACATCAGCCATATTAGATTAGGGTCCAGCCTAACAGCTTCATTTTAACCTAATTAACAGTTTAAAGAGCTTATCTCCAAATATAGGTACTGAGAGTTAGGACTGCAACATATAGATTTGGTAGGGAGAGGGCAAAGAAAGAGAATAAATTCAGCCCACAATAGAACATAAAGCAAAGGACCCAACTAAATTGCTCTTGAATTCTTGAACTACAGAAAATGTAAGACAGTAAATGTTGTTTCAAGCCAGTAAGTTCTGGGGTAATTTATTATACAGCACAGATAACTAATATAATATACCAGGTAAAACAGTTATCATCATTCACCTTCTGGGCCCAGGAAAAAACAACTTTATTAAAATTTTTCACTGTGAATTTAAACACAACTCATTTTATTTCATATCTTCCTGCTTTTGAAGGCATATATACATGAAATGGTCAATGTCCTCTGAATACAAATAATTGCTTAACTGTCATACATGAGCCTGAAACATGCCCATCTCATAAACACCAATTCTAGATTTCAAGTACCTCTCTGTGGGTTCTAGTCTGTCATCACTTCTGACATTACTTCTCATACCTGTATCATCAACACGCAGTATGTGGAAAACTATGCGGTTCATCAGTTTAAACAGAAGAGGGTCATCATCTATGTCCTATATTTGAAAAATATTCCAGTTTTAGATTTATAATCGCCTGTTACAAGTGGTAGGGCGCGGTGACTGATACCTGTAATCCCAGCACTTTGGGAGGCCAAGGTGGGTGGATCACGAGGTCAAGAGATCCAGACTATCCCAGCCAACATGGTGAAACTCCATCTCCACCAAAAATACAAAAATTAGCCAGGCGTGGTGGTGCATGCCTGCAGTCACAGCTACTTAGGAGGCTGAGGCAAGAGAATTGCTTGAACCCAGGAGGCGGAGGTTGCAGTGAGCCAAGATCGCATCATTGCACTCTAGCCTGGCAACAGAGTGAGACTCCATCTCAAAATAATAATAATAATAATAATAATAATAATAATAACAACAACAACAATAATCACCTGTCAGAATGAGCAAACCAATGAATTATCTGTTATCTATTTCCTTCCATCTTCAGCACTCCTCTACTTTAAAACCATATAAGTGAATTAGCATTTTTACTGCAAGATGGTACCCATAACACATCAGCTCTTTAGACTGACATCTACTCTTTATTCCACTTGTTACTTAAAATGAATGATCCACATTATTTAAAGGCCAAAAAGCAAGTTTTCTTTCCATTTGAATTTCATTTCCCTCCTCCTAATGACAAACCTGTAATTAGATTATGACTTAGGATTTTTTTTTCCTAACCATTCCAAGAAGACCTTTACCACTTAAATCTTTACATCAATGATTTCTAGCTTGCTATATAAGGGAAAAATATGGACAACATCACGAATTTAGCTATATGATACACTGTTTTCGAAAAATGTCTCTGTACTTATGTTTTAGTGAATGAAATCTATCTTAGAGAACTGCTCTGTTATTTTTAATTCTATTTTTATTGATATTAATTTGAAGTTTGACAAAGTATTTATGTCTTTTCCTGATACTATCAATATGTCAGTATGTCACTGAACATTAGTCAATGAAATCCAATTCTCTTTCATTCAGTTCCCACCAGTATTTACATACAGTGAAGAGATTCTGCTTATATTCTTTTTTCTTTGACCTGTTCACTATACTACAAGTGATGTCTGATTACTTTCTTAACATTGTTTAAAACACTGAGTTTCCCACTGAGCAAATACTGCAGAAACATTTCTATTCTCAACTTTACTCTCATTTATTTCTACTAATGTCTAGACAGCCGCCTCCTTACAATGGGGTTAGTTCCTAGTAAATTCATCATAAATCAAAAATATTGTAAACTGAAAATGCATTTAATCCATCTAACTTACTGAATATTATGGTTTAGCCTAGCCTACCTTAAATATGCTCAGAACAGTAGCCTACACTTGGGAAAAATCATCTAACACAAAGCCTATTTCATAACAACATGTTGAATATCTCATGTAATTTGCTGAATATTGCATTACAAGTGAAAAATCTCATGGCTTTATGCACGCCCAAAGTACAGCTTCTACTGAATGTATATTACTTTTGCACCATTGAGGTAATAAGCTGAAACACTGTAAATCAAGAATTTCTTTTGTATTTCTTTTATTTTTTAAATCTGGAGTTGCCTTAATTTTCTTCAAAAATACTTTCCTATTATGTCTTATTTTTTATGTTTCCAAATTTTCCTCTTTTTGGTCTTTATTATACTTGACTACCACCACCTCTGGGTATAATTTAAAGCCCAGAGAGGATATACCACTTTACACACACAAAATCAGCTGTCATCCTGATATTCTCTGTAAGAAATATTCTGGTTTTAGATTTACCTCTTAAGCTTTCTTTTTTTTTTTTTTTTTTTTTTTTTTGAGATGGAGTTTTGCTCTTGTTACCCTGGCTGGAGTGCAATGACGCAATCTTGGCTCACTGCAACCTCTGCCTCCTGTGTTCAGGCAATTCTCCTGCCTCAGCATCCTTAGTAGCTGGGATTACAGGCCCGCGCCACCATGCCCCGCTAATTTTTTTTTTGTATTTTTAGTAGAGATGGGGTTTCACCATGTTGACCAGGATGGTCTCAATCTCTTTTTTTAGTATATGTGCTGCCGAAGCAAGCACGGTCTCGATCCCCTGACCTCGTGATCCACCTGCCTCGGCCTCCCAAAGTGCTGGGATTACAGGCGTGAGCCACCGCGCCCGGCTACCTCTTAAGCTTTCTTAACTGAAATGCTATCTGGCATATATTAATGTCCACTAAATATTTGTTGCTTTATATAATTATATGTTAAGAAGAAAAATGTAGAATGGCATGTTAATATTGCTAAACCCTTATGATGTATAACACATATTAAAATAGATCTAAAAGAAAAATTTGAATATTTTACACAACCTTTTACTAACCATGTATGCAGTTAGAAGGTAAAGACTTACATATGAAGGCATACTAGTTCCTCTTAGACCCTACCTGACCATTGTTACAGTCCAAAACAATCCATTCCATGTTGGTGGTCAGGTTATGAGGTTTCTCTCAGACAGTGGTCTGATGGGAATAAGGAGTAAGGAATCAGAATACAGGACGTTTTAATAAGGTTTTTTAAAAAAGTCAAACACCGAGGTCCTTGACTATCTCCCAACAATACCTGTCAAAGATCTTTGGACTACTTTGAACTATTACCAGAACTGGCCAGCAGAATCAGTCATCATTCTGATATAAGAGGTTAAAGTCTACAGAAAAATAGGATTTGATAGATAACCTTCCAGAATGCATGTATTCTGTATACCCTGTTAAACAAGCAAACTATACTCAATGCCTCTAGACAGCAAGGCGAGCCCAAGGAAAGGGGACACAGAGATGATATTGAGTAACAGCTGCACAGAACACTACAATACATATCGATTTAGAGCTTTTGAAAGAATTCATGATATGAAACAAAGTTAACAATTAACTGCCTGGTGAGAAGACCTTGAAAAATCTTGAAGAACATCTGAAAGCCTGGCAAGCATTTGTTTTTTTTTAACTTAGAATTATAATAAGGAAAGTTTTACACCTCTTTCCAATAATATATATTTATATTTAATAGTATCAGAACATTGACCACCAGTGAAATCAAACTAGATATAAGCACTTCTCAGAAGCAGCTACATCATTTTATAACCATTTATTCAGAGGCTGAAATTTCCCACCTGGGCATGTGCAGGAAAATTATTTTGCTTTGGTAGTCAACAGACTAAATTCAGCACCAGAATCAACCCCACTCAAGGGCATTTAATCAGATTGCTCTGTGAACGTTTTAGAAATTTAGAGACAGTGATTATTCAGGAACTCCCAGACAGTGACTCTGCTATCTTACACACGGGGCCTACCGATGCTAAGGTTGGTTAGTGTGGGTATGTTCCCTCCTTCAATTCATTACTGACTGGAAATGCACAGGTAACTAACAACAATATGTACACACCTGAAATACTCTCATTTTAAAAGTTATTTTCTTACCATCACAACTGCTCTTGTTCTTCCCTATGAGACATTCGCATTCTATGTGAGTGCTTATTGTGTTTGTCATAAACCATTTAGGGTCTAGCCTACAGACTTAGTAGGTTTCAGAGGCAGAAGGGAAGAAGCAGAGCTCAGTCCTTGACACTGAACTTGCTCACTGCCTCTCAGGGTGGAAGAGGTCAGTTTGGCGAGTAACATGTTTGGTGTCATCATTTCAGATTTTCCAGAGGTAACGGTTACAAAAGTCTTCCCAGAAACAAGATTCACCACCACCTATGTATACATGACAACGGCTTGTTAAGTGCCGATAATTTGCTCTTTGCATCAGAGGGTGGAGGACACGGCCCATTTTCCATGCGAAATCATAAAGTTGTTTTGTACTCAAAGCCACTCTTCCCAACAAACCTTTCCCAAAGGATTTGGCCCTACTGGAGTCCTCCTAGGTACCTGCACATTCAAACACTGATCCTGAGAAATTACTGGTGAGTACAAGCACTATCTCCATGGGCAAAAGAAGGTAGGTTCAAATTGCATTTTTTCACTTAGCAATAGGTTATCTTGAATTAAATATGTACCGCCTCATAGCCACAGTTTCCTCATCTGCAAAATGGGGATAGTACTTGCTCATAGCTGTTTTGAGGACTAGCTGAGACAAATGCTTAACACAGTATTAGGAACATGGTCAGTGCTCAATATTAATCCCCAAGTCCGTGTCATAAATTTTGATAAATACTACGTGGTAGTTTCATCCTTTATTTTTAATACAATTCAAGTGATTTCATCTATATTAGACATTACAATATTTACATTTATATATCATAGGCCTTTTCTGTATATACATAACCTATGTGTTGCTATCCTTAACAGTATAATATTTATATTATCTGGAAACTTCTTAACCATAATCACTACCTACTCCCTCACAAAACAAGTTTTTCCCTGTTTTCTATTGAAATTTAATGCAAGTAACTCAACTGCAGATAATCTAAATTTCACTCTAATATAGTACCTGTACCTTCATTCTAGCTAAAAAATTCCTTCTAAAAGTCCTTATTGATATTAAAAAAAACATGGGCCAGGTGCAGTGGCTCACACCTATAATCCTAGCACTTTGGAAGGCTGAGGTGGAAAGATCACTTGAGCCCAGGAGCTCAAGACCAGCTCAGGCAACATAACAAGACCTTGTCTCTACAAAAAAATAAAAATAAAAAAATCAGCAGGGTGTGGTGGTGCATGCCTGTGGTCCCACCTAAAGAGGCTGAGTCAGGAGGATTGCTTACACCCAGGAGTTCAAGTTTACAGTGAGGTATGATCACACCATTGTACTCCAGCCTGGGAGACAGAGTAAGACCCTGTTTCTACTAAAAAAAAAAAAAAAAAAAAAGCAAAAATGAATGTACTTTCTAGCACTGTCAATCAGATGATGATGAAATAAGCATTCTCATCTTATTTAAATATTAATAAAGTACGAAATTTAAAAATCCATTTAAATATATCAACCAAAATAATGAAAACCACAAAAGGTAAAAGAGATGGGAGGATCTTGTACTTTACCTGATCTTAGGTATTCCACAAAATGGAAGTTTTTCTTCAGAATAAGCTATATTGTCAGATCTGTTTTGCAAGTCAATATGTAAGATATATTAATATAATAAGAAAAGAAAAAATCTGAAGAAATGTGAAGAAAACATAATGAATTCAGACATACATTTAAATATGAAATAAGCACTATCCGGAATAAAATTCAAAAGCGACAGCCAGTGCTGCTTGAGAACACTCAGTCAGGCTCCCTGCACAATATCCAACTCCCTCCATCCACTGCTACTTCCCCATGTGCATGCTATACTCTAGATACTAAATGTACAGACATTTCTGATATAACTGGTCTATGGGCTGGTATCTATGTCATCCCTTCCATCTAGAATGTCTTATTCTGCTATCTCTGCCACCAAAACTCCCGCTCAGCCTGTAAGGCCATGCCTCACTGCCAGCCCCTCCACATGCCCATCTCTGCGCTTCCAAGATACCTGAGCTCATGCTTTCCCATACTCTCACCACTGGCATTACTGTGAATTTGTCTAACACATGTCCACTGCCCCCCATTAGAACCTAAGGTCAACAAAGACAGGAGACTAATTTATCTTCATGTCACCACATCCCCTAGGAGAGGCCCTTGCAAAAAGGGTGCAATTAGTGCATCATGAAGATGTCACAGTGGCAGGTGACGTGATCTTGCCTACCTTACCCACACAATTTGGAACTCATACAGACTGCAGCCTGACAAGAGCTCCAGGCGTTGTATTTTTTATTACAGAATCAACTCATTTCATCCAGAAACATGGCAAACACAGAACACAGAAGACAATTTTATTCAAGTCAATGCTCTGCTTGATGCAAAGATCCTTAGTAAGAGCTGAGGCCAAAAAAAAAAAAAAAAAAAAAAAAAAAAAAAATCAAGAATGGTCATCAAAACAGGGGTAGGCAGACCAAGGGTAAACTTGGGAAGGTCACAAAATATTTCACTGGACTCACATCCTTCTTAAATCATGATCAAAACATGTATTTATTTAATATCTATTATTTTAAAAGATTATTTTAAGAAAGAAAGTAATTCTTTTTTCACTGTCAACTTACTTATCTGTGCTCCATCATCACCTAAGGATGGTACCACTTTTCTGGGAACTGACCCCAAAAAAAGCAGTAGTCACAATTGTTCTTTAAGATCTATAAAAGATTTTAGATTGACAAAAGCAGAAACAAGTGATATTTTATTTTGACCCATTATATTCAACAGTGAAAGACTACTGTCTAATCAGAATATTTTATTTGTTTTCCTTTTTCACAGCGAGACATTATACCTTTCATATTCACATAATCATTGAAACCAAATGACTTCATTCTTAAGAAAACTGGATTTTTAATGATTCATTGTCTTTATGACTTCAGTCTGCTCAAATGATCTGACCAATTAAGAAAAACACACATACCTATAACATAAATGGAACATGTGAGAAAGCTTTCCAATGCTATAAGGAGAGGAGAACTGAATCAGCTGCCCATTTCATTTGATGCATAGCAACAAGTGACCAGCAGAACGCATGTTTTTATGGGTGGCTATTATTTTACATCATCTTAGACCAAGTCTATACAAAATATAACTTCACAATACTTAGTATTTTGTGTGTAAAATTCCAAATATCAAAAATTTAGGAGACATTAAAGGCAATGATTGCAGCCAGGCTTGCACTTTCTAGTATATAAATAAGGAAAACATTTTTTTTTGTTTTACAATAGAAGACCAGGTAACACCTAAATATATTTATTTAGACATTCACTATCATCCAGTAAAGTAGTCACTAGCAATAATTTTAAAAAAGTTAAAAATTCAGTTGCACTAACTACATTTCTGGTGCTCAAGAGCCCCATGTTGCTGGTTGCTACTGTACTGACTAACATAGAATGATCCTTCCATGAACACAGAAAGCTCTACTGGACTGTGCTGCTTGACAATCACAAGGAAAAATCGTATATAAGTGAATGAATCAATGAAGAAATGACACACCATTGTCATTTGTTGACTAATCAACAAACACATGAACTAAAATCATAAATTTCCATATTAAATGTAAGGATGGATCATAGTTGCCTAGTTATCTTACAAAAATGATACTGTATTTAATTATCAAATTTCTCCACTCAAACCAGAGAACAAAAACATCTGTGCAAGTTTGAAAAGACTCTGCATTTTCTAATTAAAAATACCAAAATACATAGATATAACTTAGAATAATTCATCACATTCAAATCAACCACAGAATTCTTTTAAACTACACCTATAAATAAAAAAAACGGCCGGGCGCGGTGGCTTAGCCTGTAATCCCAGCACTTTGGGAGGCCGAGGCGGGTGGATCATGAGGTCGAGAGATCGAGACCATCCTGGTCAACATAGTGAAACCCCGTCTCTACTAAAAATACAAAAAAATAGCTGGGCGTGGTGGCGCGTGCCTGTAATCCCAGCTACTCAGGAGGCTGAGGCAGGAGAATTGCCTGAGCCCAGGAGGCGGAGGTTGCGGTGAGCCGAGATCGCGCCATTGCACTCCAGCCCTCCAGCCTGGGTAACGAGAGCGAAACTCCGTCTAAAAAAAAAAAAAAAAAAACAGTATCTACTAGAATGGCTAAAATGAAAAAGATGAACAACACAAAATGCTAGTGAAATGTTAAGTAAAATAATTCTCAGTCATTGTTGGAAGGAGCTTAAAGTGCTCTCACTGCCTTAGAAAAACATCCAGTAGTTTCTTCTAAGACTAAACACTTATCTGCCTCAAGGTCCAACAGTTTCCCTCCTAGATATTTACCCAATAAAATAAAAACATGTCCTCAGAAAGACTCATATTAGAACATTCAAAGAAGGAGCCTATGGACAATGAAAGTCGTATGAACTGTAGTATATTCAGACAATGAAATATTACGCTGCAATAAAAAAGAACAATTTTATACATGATATAAATACATCTCAAAAACATTATGGTAAGCAGAAGGAAAACATACTACATGATTCCATTTACATGTAATTCTAGAACATGCAAAACTAACCTACAAGTAATCCAAGCCAAACAAAACTCGGAACAGTGATGGCCGCTAGAAGAAGACAGGGGAGGGGAACAACTGTGGTGATGGAAATGTGTTGTACCTTGATTACTATTTTTAGAATTGACAGGTTTTGGTTTTTAACTAAAATAAAGAAGTGGCATAAAATAAGAACAGATTGCTAATTTAGTTTCCTCTTTACTAGCAAAGGCATAGCTAAATTAAGAATCAATAATGGCAAATTAAAGAACTGAAATATGACAAAATGATCAAATGATTTACATGGATGTCTTAGAACATACAGCTGAGTAATCACAAAAGAGTGTTTTCTGTAGAACTGCTACTCCTTATCAGTCTCATCATCCACTGTTAATTAGCACTTGGGCTGATCAGAGTTCAACAAGGCATGCAAATTCTAGTTATCCTGCTTCAGAGAAATTATAAATGCTATTGCAAATATGCTATGCCTTATATAAGGCTTTCATATTTAAAATATATACTTAATGAATAAGCTACCCGTCCATACATATCTATTTAATTTACTATTGATAGATGCAGAAGGAAGATAAGGAAACCTGCCCAAGGCCTTGTGGGGTGTGCTCGCAACAGACTGGGGGCCCACCTGTGCAGTGGAAGAATGGGGTGGAGCCCCCAGGAATACTCGCCTTATGCAAGGGGGAGGAGTCTGACCTCCAGCTCCAGTGTAGTGGCCTGGTATTCAATCTGTGAGGTGAAAAGCCTGTTGGCAGGACCTCATCTTTTTTTATTTTATTGTACCTCTGCTGAAAGCTTTCTTTTAATAAATTCTGCTCTCCTCACCTTTCAGTGTGTTCGCGCGTCTAATTTTTCTTGGCTGTGACACAAGAACCTAGACTGTAGTGGAACTAAGGAGCAAAAAGGCCTGCATCATTTTGGTGGCCTGTAGGGGGACATGGGGAAAGGCTAGTAAAATGCGGATTAAAAA